TTCTATATATTTAAGTTTGGGGGGTTTTAATCCATTTTTCTAAAACAATGATTCCAAAACACTATATATATCTATGCAGAATCTCACTCTGCCTTGCCCAGGCTGGAGTAGTGTCGTGTTCTTGGCTCACTGCAACCTCCCCCTCCCAGAGGTTGGCCAGGCTGGTCTTTAACTCCTGACCTCAGGTGATCCACCTGCCTCAGCCTCCCAAAGTGCTGGGATTACAGGCATGAGCTACCACGCCTGGCCTGCTTTTTTAAACCTAAGACTTTTCTCTATGTTGAGGTCATTCAAAGGGAGAAGAAATGGAAAATTCTCACAGACCAAATCAATATTGTACCAGTTATCCAATAAAATAACCATCCAACATCAAACCAAACCCAAAACACCAGAAGCCTAAAGACTTACTTACCAATGACAGGGTTGCTATTTCTGTGAGCTGGTTTAGGGGGAGGGATAGGGGGCTGCTTGGCAGGGATCGTATGAGTGAGGCTTGGGGTAGCAGTAGTGTTAGTGCTGGCAGGAGCAGCAGGCAGAGTCCTTGGTGCTGGGGAAGGCGTGGCAGACAGATTAACAGTCTTTGCAAGGCTTGTGGCAGCAGTGGTGGCAGCGGGTGCTGTGGTGATGGAAGTAGAGATGATGAACCTTGCCGTGCTGCCAGAGGAAGTGGAATCCTTTGCTTGCCCTTCATTTGCTTCATGAGAAGCGGACAAGGGTCTTTTGGGAGGAAGTAAAGGCTGTTTGGCTACATTCTCAGGAATAGACTCTGCTTCAGAATTAGGCTGGCTTCCAGTTGAGCCTGTGTAATAACACATATAAAAAGGGAAAGAGAGAGTAATAAGAGAGACTGAAAAAGCTAACACATCTATGAATTTATGGTCAATTCCAACAATTATTTAATTTATAGATTATATTACAGGCCTCCCAATCTCCCCATACTTAAAAAATGTCAGTAAGAAAGGCTCAGTAAGAGATGCTCATTGTGGTAGTGATTCTTCACACAAGAGCCAGGCTGCTGGAGGAGAGGCACAACAAAATTCCTTGGGTGAAAGAAGTGGAATGTGTAGCTGGAAAAAATCCTATAGGTATCTGATACTTAACATCCTCTTCCCTTCTTGAGGATCACAAATTTAGGTATTTTGTGAATAAAAGGGCGGGAGAGGAAATTCCCCTTGAAGTTGCTAAAGTATTGCTAAAGGAGAATGTAATTCTCTCTGGATTTTACTTTTCTCTGTTCTCTTGCAAACCCCTTATGTAAAGGAGAATAACAGTCCATGGCTCTTAAACTAAAAAATCCAGAGTTTCTTACCTAGTCGTTTCTTTAATTCCTCTTCTGGAATAGGTTTCCTAAGACTTGTTAATCTTACTGGCTCTTCCTCTACTTGGACTGGACTAGATGATCTGGCACTCCCTATGGGGTTGGTATGGCCATTCTTTAACATGGCATGGCTTGGCTTTCCTGGATCCTCATCACCTGCAAGGTGAAAGAAGAGTACAAAGTGATGAAATTGGGCCGGGTGCGGTGGCTCAAGCCTGTAATCCCAGCACTTTGGGAGGCCGAGGCGGGTGGATCAAGAGGTCAAGAGATCGAGACCATCCTGGTCAACATGGTGAAACCCCGTCTCTACTAAAAATACAAAAAATTAGCTGGGCATGGTGGCGCGTGCCTGTAATCCCAGCTGCTGGGGAGGCTGAGGCAGGAGAATTGCCTGAACCCAGGAGGCGGAGGTTGCTGTGAGCCGAGATCGCACCATTGCACTCCAGCCTGGGTAACAAGAGCGAAACTCCATCTCAAAAAAAAAAAAAAAAAGTGATGAAATTGGCATGAACAGATAGAGAGAAGAGTTAGTAAATTTTTCTTTCTCTCTCTTTAAATTGAGACAGGGTCTTGCTATGTTGCCCAGGCTGGTCTTGAACTCCTAGGCTCAAGCAATCTGCCCGCCTTGGCATCCCAATGTGCTAGGATGAATGGCATGAACCACTGTGCCTGGCCAGTGTTGGTGATTTGAGACAGGGTCTCACAGAACAGGCTGGAGTGCAGTGGCATGATCTTGGTTCACCGCAGCCTCTGCCTCCCAGGCTCAAGTGATCCTCCTGCCTCAGCCTACTAAGTAGCTGGGACCACAGGCATGTGCCACCACACCCACCTAATTTTTTATATTTTTGAGAGAGATGGGGTCTCACTATGTTGCCTAGGCTGGTCTCAAGCTCCTGGGTTCAAGCAATCCACCTGCCTTGGCCTCCAAAAATGCTGAGATTATAGTCGTGAGCCGCAGAGCATGGCCCAGAGTTGGTGATTTCTAACCTTCCTTACCTTCTTTCCCCTGTCTTCCTGTTTTAGTTTATTATTGAGATCTAGATTACCTGGATGCTTAAACAGAAATAGGTAATTTCTTTTTCCAATACATGTTTGATAGCCTATTATATGCCAAGTACGTTGTTATATGAATAAGACAAAGGCCAGGTGCAGTGGCTCATTCCTGTAATCTCAGCACTTTGGGAGGCCAAGCCAGGGAGATCACCTGAGGTCAGGAGTTTGAGACCAGCCTGGTCAACATGGTGAAAACCCGTCTCTACTAAAAATATAAAAATTAGCCAGATGTGGTGGCAGGCACCTGTAATCCCAGCTACTTGGGAGGCTGAGGCAGGTGAATTGCTTGAACCCAGGAGGCAGAGGTTGCAGTAAGCTGAGATAGCATCAATGCACTCCAGCCTGGGCAACAGAGCAAAAACTCCATCTCAAAAAAAAAAAAAAAAGGGCAAACTGATTATATATAAGTAACTACAATGTTAAATGTCAAGAGCTCTAATGAGTGAAGTGCTGTGGTAGGAATGAAGAAGAAATCATTCTCCTGGGGCGAGAATAGAGTTAGGAAGGCACTTCGGCCGGGCGCGGTGGCTCAAGCCTGTAATCCCAGCACTTTGGGAGGCCGAGGCGGGTGGATCACAAGGTCAAGAGATCGAGACCATCCTGGTCAACATGGTGAAACCCCGTCTCTACTAAAAATACAAAAAATTAGCTGGGCATGGTGGTGCATGCCTGTAATCCCAGCTACTCAGGAGGCTGAGGCAGGAGAATTGCCTGAACCCAGGAGGCGGAGGTTGCGGTGAGCCGAGATCGCGCCATTGCACTCCAGCCTGGGTAACATGAGTGAAACTCCGTCTCAAAAAAAAAAAAAAAAAAGGAAGGCATCACAGAAAGTATCTGAGCTGGAGTTGAGATGGTCTTGCTATGTTACCAGGCTGGCCTTGAACTCCTGGGCTCAAGCAATCCTCCTTCCTCAGCCTCCCTAGTAGATGGTACTATGGCACACACCATCATGCCTTGCTTTGAACTGGATTTTGAAGGAGTAGGAACCCACCACACTGAATAAAGATAGTCTGTTTGGAAGAAGGAATAATATGTATAAAGGTATGAAGTTATTCAATATGTTTGGGGCACTGGCAACTAGTTCGATCTGGCAGGAGAATAGATTCACATAAGAAATGGTTATAGGGAGCCGGGCATGGTGGCTCACACCTGTAATCTCAGCACTTTGGGAGGCCGAGGTGGGTGGATCACTTGAGATTAGGAGTTTGAGACCAGCCCGGCCAACATGGTGAAACTCCATCTCTACTAAAGACCAAAGTTGGCTGGGCATGGTGGCAGGTGCCTGTAATCCCAGCTACTTGGGAGGCTGAGCCATGAGAATTGCTTGAATCTGGGAGGTAGAGGTTGCAGCAAGCCAGGATTGCATCACTGCACTCAAGCCTGGGCAAAAGAATGAGACTCTGTCTAAGGAGGGAAAAAAAAAAAAAAAAAGACACACAACAAAGTTGAGGATGTACACACAGGAAAGAAATGTTTGCCCCAAGGAAGAAAGGGTGAACGTTATTTTTTTAACGGCCACCCTCCAACCCAAAAACATCAATACAAAAGAAAGAAAATTCAAATACCTAGTCAGACCCAATCAAAGACCAAGTGCACAGACAGGCATATGTTATCATTTGTAAACTTACCTTGCTCAGGGTCTTCCAACAGAACCCCTCTTTTAACCAGCTCTTCTCTTGGTTTTCGCATAGATATTTTCCGTTCTAAAACTAACATTAAGTTGGAAAATGGCACTCAGAAATGTGACAGTTGAAAGTCAACCTTACACTTAGCATTCTAATTCCACAGGTAAAAGAATAAAGTGGTTTAAGTTTATATTCTCAGGAAAGAAAATAACTAGCAGACTAACTTCAAATTAAAAATCTTAAATTTCTTTTATAACCTGTGCTATTAGGAAAGCATGATTTTCAAAAAACTAGCCTTACATAATTATAGCATAATAGAAAATTTCATTAGTAAGGAATTTATGGATGAACTTCGTGTGGATGGGCAGAGTAGAAAAAAAATAAGCATTTTATTTATGTATGTATTAATTCATTCAGTCATTTTCTTTACCAAGTCCTGATGGAAAGAAGCATATTAGATTTGTTATAGTTCAGGAACTCCATTCACCACTCAATAGATACTTCTATCCCATCAAAACACAGACCAGGGAATGACAGTATACAATATAAGGTTTAGTAAATGATCATTTTGATATTTAATTCTAAAAGATTAAATTCTGGCCAGATGCAGTGGCTCATGCTTATAATCCTGGCACTTTGGGAGGCTGAGGTGGGAGGATTGCTTGAGCCCAGGTGTTCAAGATCAGCCTAGAAAACACGGGGATACCCTGTCTCTACAAAAAATTTAAAAATTAAATGGGCCCAACAGCTCATGCTTGTAGTTCCAGCTACTCAGCAGGTTGAGGACTGCAAGAGCCCAGGATGTTGAATCTGCAGTAAGCTGTAATTGCGCCACTGTACCCCAGCCTGGGAAACAGGGCGAGATCCTGTCTCACCAAAAAAAAAAAAAAAAAAAAGAAATAAATAAAAGATTAAACACCCTCTTCAAATAGAGGACTACAGAAACTTGGGAAGATAAGGAAAAATTAGATACTTCTAACATAAAGAACTCTAACTAAGAACACACATTTAAATCTTAATATCTCACCTTCTGAAGTCTCTTTAAATTTATCACTACTTTTTTTTTTCCTCCATTTCCAGGGTTTGAAGATCTTGCCAAAGCCTGAGAACTTGCTCTTCCTTTTGGTAGGAGGTGTTGTATCTCCTGCTTCCACACTGTCCATGACCATGCCTGGCTCTGTAGCAGGCTGGTCTGCTTCCTCTGTTACATGAAGAAAAGAGAGGGAAGGGAGCAAATTTATTATTTCAGCATAATCTCTAAAATGTTCCTTCCCCTCTCTTCCTGTGGCAGTTGGGAAGGATGGGGGCAATGATAAACAATCATGCAGACAGGGAGACTCTTGGACATCACATGGACACCAAACATCAAAACCCGTTAACAGATAAATTACTAAGGAGGAAAAGGAGCCAAACCAAGCTGACATAATTTTAGGACAAAATCTGGTGAAATGATCGGAGCCAGCTCAAAATCTTTTAAAGGCACATGTATACAAAATGTGGATATCTTACCCACTGCATGAGATCTTGCCTTGCTGAAGCAGGGAATTCCACCATTAGTGAGTGAGTCATTTTCTCTATTAAATGTTGCCCTTTCCCTGCCCTTTTCAGGGTATAAATAGTTCAGGGAGAGGTAACACATTAATTGTTAATACCTTACTTATGTCTGCACATCACATTATTTTCTCCCTTTACAAAAAGGATCCTAGGTACTGGAAGGTGCTCACGGTGGGGGGCAGAAGCATTAGAAAGAGAGTGCATTAAATTGGACGGAAATGTTTTCAGAAAGTAGAGGTGAGATTCCAATTTGTCTACCATAGCAGTGCTTTAGAGACAATCACAGGCTGGGCACAGTGGCTCATTCCTATAATCCCAGCACTCTGGGAGGCTGGGGCAGGTAGACTGCTTGAGCTCAGGAACTTGAAACCAGCCTGGGCAGTAAGGTGAAACTCTGTCTCTACAAAAAATACAAAAACAAAAATTAGCCGGGCATTGTGGTACATAGTCTCAACTACTCAGGAGGCTGAGATGGGAGGATGGCTTGAGCCTGGGAGGTCAACACTGCAGTGGGCCATGACTATGCCACTGCACTCCAGCATGGGCAACAGAGTGAGAGCCTGTCTCCAAAAAAAAAAAAAAAAAAAAAAAAAAA